CCCGCTGCGCATGCGCGGCAAAGTGACTTTGCAATGTGCGTGCGCGGTAGGGCCGGGCGGGCAGCGCGCATGCGTGGGACCGAAACGGGGTGGTGTTCCGGGCTGTGAAGAGGTGGGTACTTCCGGCTACTGCCGGGGCACTCGCTGCGCGTGCGCATGCGACACTAGGGTAAAGGGTGCGTAGCAGTCCTGATGCGCATGTGCTGTGGCTGGTTGGGCTGGGCCGCCGGTCGTGTAGCTTGCTCTTCCAGCTGCGCGTGACCTGATCACGGGCTCAGGCGGGGGTTAAGGCTCAGCGCAGCTTGTCCCCTCCCCCCAAAAGTGAGGACGGGCTACAACATCAATTCAGGAACAGCACACTACTAATACAACACCCCCCACCCACTCAGTTGCTTTACCCTCGTTTTGAGAATATGCTTGCTGGTGCTGATCACCCCTCAAGGCAAGGGACAGAAGTTACACATAAACGGGTTGAAGTGATCAGAAGCTGTTTTAAACCTATAACAGAACAGAAGTTCAGTGCACACAGACCAGTTTCAAAATGGCTGAAACCAGTTTTCTCTCAACCTGGTTGAATGTAGTATCAGCCTGAATGATTTAGGTCAAACTAGTGTATAGAATTTCTGTCCCAGACACCTTCCTGGGTTAAGTTAAACCAGTCTCCCAGCATGCTCTGCAGCTCCTGCGCTGTGCTCCAGAGAGCAGGGCTGGCCCTGCCCCTCTGCTCTCTAGCCCCACCCCTGCTCCAGCTATGGCCAGATGCCAGCCTGCCATGGCCCCCTGAGGCAAAGGGGGCAGGGAGGAGGTTTATTTCCTCCACCCACCAGGGGACCACAGCTGGGGTCTGCCTGGCCAGGTGCAAGCAGCAGAGGCAGTAGCTGGGTTGGGCAGTGCTGCAGTCTCTTGGTGGGAGAGGGGATGAAGTGGGGAATAAACTTCCTCCCTGCCCACTTGGCCTTAGGAGGCCATGCCAGGTTTGCGTCTGGCCACACCCCAGGCAGCAGCGGGGAAGCTGTAGATGCAGCACAGCCCTGTGCACTAGGCGCAGGGCCCTACCCCAGGGCTTCCCAGCTGTTGTCTGCACACCTGGTAGCCAACCGCAGTTCGGCGGTGGTGTTGGCACCTACCTGTACAGCCAGGGCAGGCACCCAACAGTGATGGCGGCAGCAGGTAAGCCACAGGGAACCTGGAGCCTGGTACACGGGGCCGTGCTGTGCCACCACTGGATAAGGGAACAGTGAGCACGGTGCACCCAGTTTGGTGCCCAGGGGGCACAGGTAATAGTGCTGGGGCTCAGCGGGTGAGCTCCTGCCATGCACAGCATAGCAAAGACTGTGGCTGTCTCAGGCGCTGCACTCCAGTGGGGAGAAGGGGCCACTGGACAGGAGCTTTCCTTTATGGAACTTTGCTCCTAGGTCTCTCTCTCCCCACAATTAGGCCTTTGCTTCTGGGCTGCCCCAAGTAAAATTAGGCACCAGCAGCTGGGAAGGTGCAGTGGGATCACCTGCTAGCTGGGACAAGGGCTTTGGGGGTTCCAGGCCATGCTGAGCCATGAGCAGAAGGAAACAAGAGGGGTAGACCCTGGTTGGGGTCCCTGCAGGCCAGGCTGGGGGTTTAAACCCCTGCCCAACGAACTCAGTCTGCTGAGGCCTGGCCACACCTGTCTCAGTTCAGCTTCCCCCTAGCCTGAAAGGAAGATCGCTGGCTTCTAGCCTGAGCCATCGCAGGCATGTGCCTGCATTTCCAGAATCAAAACTGAACCTCTGGTCACTTGCAAATCAGTTCAATCTACATTGGTTAGACTAACCTGCAAATATTGAATCAATTCAGGCTCTGGCTTTTTGAATGTCTGTCCCTAGCCTAGATCACACTGCACCCAGTCCTTGCAACACAACCTAAAAAAACACTGACTCCTGCTTCCATTGCTGTGTCAAGAACGCTACAACGCCCTGAAAGCAACCGTTCCTCACCACAAGCTGATTCCTGCACTGTGTAACACCTATTTCAACCAGCCATTATTCCATGGGTGCGTCCAGACAAGCATGGACATGTGGTACATGGCACCTAAGACCCATCTCCGGTGCCACACACTGCACATGTAGGCATTCCCCATGCTGCTACTTTGCAGTGCAGGGAGGGGGGCGGGTTTGACCCCAGGGGAGCCTAGGGTCAAAATAACCCACACCAAAAAAAAGCAGTGTGTTGCACATGGCCGCAGCGCATGCTGCCCAAAATTGGAACCTGGCTGGCCGGCGCCACACTCGGGCTGCCAGCTAGGTTTCCAGCTGCTGGAGTGCCACAGCTGCTGTTCCCTATAGCCCCCAGGACCCCAGGTAAGGCATCTGGGGCCAGCATAATTGCTGGCCCCAGCCTCTCCTACCCCACCCAAAGTAACCTGCCACATGCCAGAGCATTCCTGGCACAGGTGTTTCCTGGGGATAAGCAGCTGCAGTGCAAGGCATTCAAATGTAAGCTGTCTCATGGAGATACCAAATTCAGATGGAAGTAACTACTGGCAACTGACAAATGAACTCAATGGATGACCAAACTATACACAAGTAAAGAACTGTGGAAGAATTTTATCACTGAAATTAGGCCCAGGTGTCGGTACTGCTCAAATTGAAGTCAATCTTATCTTCTTACCTCCACCACCCCAGCACATTGCCAGCATTAAATTATACAGGTTGTGAACTGCTAGTGGGGCTCCCATAAATGGAAGGAGAAAAAATTATTGGGGGGGCTGAGTGCATCTGTGCACCACACCCCTGCACCCAGCAGGCAAGTGTGCAGGAAGGGCAGGGGGGGAAGATGCAGATTGAGGTCCCTGTGGTGAGGGAGGGAATGGGGCAGAGGCAGGGGTAGTGACTGCAGTGAATGGGGCCCTGTGGGACAATCAGAGCCCAGGCATTTCATCCAGGGGTGCAGGGGGGGCTCCTGCTGCTGTGTGCACCCTGGCAGAGGCCTTTGGGGGGTGTGTGCTCGCCCGGCAGGTGTGTAGCGTCCTACCACTCCTGGGGCAGCTGTAGTGGGGCCCAGAGCCTGAGCACACAGCGACAGCCACCTCTGCCTCACCCATAGGTTTTGGGGGGGGCACGTGCCCCCCCCCCAGGCCTCAGTCAGGGTGCACACAGCAGCAGAAGCCCCCCCCTGGACAAGCTGCCCAAGCTCCGATTGTCCCAACACCCAGCCTGGCCAGGGCCCCATTTACCACAGCCCATGCCCCTGCCTCTGCCCCACTCTCTCCCTTACCATGGGAACCTCGATCTGCCTCCCCATGCCCCTTCCTCCTAACAGAATAGACTGATGATACTTGTCTGTTCTCAGGGCTGGCCCACAATGTTTTGGGGCCCCCTGATGCAAAAAAGCCGGCAGTAGCATGGGGCGGGGGGGGAAGAGAGCGGGTGGCAAGCAGCTGAAGAAGCCAACGGCAGTGTCAGGGGCTGGCTGCGGGGCCCCCTGCAGCTGCAGGTTCTATTGGATAAGACGAGTCGGCCTGCCTGCTGTGCTGGACAGCCAGGGATTCGTATGCCAGGCTGCGATCCTGGCTGTGTGCACGCCCCTCCCCACCCCTGCTGCAGCCACCTGAAGCCTGTGGCCAGGCTGCCCTGCGGCTTTACCTGCTGCCCCGCATTTGGCAGGGGCTGAATCCCTGACCTTCTGCCACCTGTGGGGGTGCCCTGCCTCAGTGAGAAGGCACAGAAAAAATGAGAATCTGCTGCAGTCGGTCTCTCTCTCTCACAACCTCTCCTTCAATTAGCAGGTGTTAATGCAGCCTCAGTATTACAACTATTCCATGCCTGGGACCAAAGACTTCCTGTGCTCCCTTTTTCATGTGAATTCTCCTACTGGTCAACCCAACTATTTATGTAAGCACTAGGGTGAAGATGTTCCCCATAGGAGCCAATCCTGGTGTCTCATAATCAAACCTCTGTAACTGTAGTCAGTAGTCCTTTGCCCCTACAGGTCTGGACATCAAGTGAGAAATGCAATCTGTTTTATAAGCATTTAAATAAGAGTTATTAATAAAAAAGCTGTGGAAACAAGGGACTATATTTTGATTATGTGACCCAAAACTCTGTTGCATTTTAACAATGTTAAGGACATTGCAGTAATATCTGTATTATACTGCAGGTATAGAGCAAAAAATATTGCAAGTCTGTTGTACACAGGACATGCTGGAATTTCTAAACCCACTGCTATTCTTACATGAGGTATAACTAATCAAAATAATTGAATATTTTTTGCCAACAAACAGTTAAAATATCTCATGAAGTGTATGCAAGTGAAAACAAGCTGTTTTTCTAAAAAAATGCACTTTAAGAAGAGGTGGTAAAAGGAAAATATTTGTTTTTATGAGCTAAAGGAAAAATTTCTTGTCAACATCTTATTTAGGTTAAGTTCCAATTTTAAGTTTTCATTAAAGAGTTCCAAAATTTAAATAATGTTTTCATTTGTAATGGGAAGTAAACCTGTTTTTAAAATATTTTAGTAGTAATACGTTTCACAATTAATATTAAAAAGTATTTATACTATATATATACACACACACACACACAATACAACACTGTTACAATTAAACCATATTATGAACCATAAAGATGTTTAATCAAGTTATAATGAAGGAGTATGTAGGTTATAATACAAGCTATATCTGCTATAGTAATTTAG